AGTAGTAGTAGTAGCAGCAGCAGTAGATAATAATAATACAATGATCCTATAAGGTAGGCTGCTGTTATTCTTCCCATATTCTTCTCTGAGACCTCCAGGTATAGGGCGGTACAGTGGTACCTTGGTTCTCGAACTCAATCCATTCTGGGAGTCCATTCGACTCCCAAAACCATACAAAACCAAGGTGCGGCTTCCAATTGGCTGCAGGTGCTTCCTGCACTCAAGTGGAAGTTGAGTCGGACATTTGGCTTCTGAAAAACGTTCACAAACCGGAACACTTACTCCGGGTTTGCGGTGTTCAGGAGCTGATCCGTTCGGGAGCCAAGCCGTTCAAGAACCAAGGTACCACTGTATATAAAGTCAATAAATAATAATAAAACAATACTAATATTACAGCTTGGACAGAGCTGTGAGGACAAAGGGCTACCTCCAGCACAGATGACGTGAGATTTGAAGCTGGGGTTCACAGCTCACACTCAGCATTGACACTACTTGCACTACGTTCTGAGGGGGTACAAGATGGAGCCATAGAACCCAGTTGGCGACAAGTTTGTGGGGGCTGCGAAGGAAAAGTCTATTGCAAGGAACATCAACATGCAGCTGCTTGGGGAGGTAGCCTCCAACCATACCATTAAACCCAGAATAACTGCTCTTCAGCTACATTACACTATTCACTGAGGAAACAGCTCAGTTGGTTAGAGCGTGGTGCTGATAATGCCAAGGTCACAAGTTTGATCCCCATATGGGACAGCTACATATTCCTGCATTGCAGGGGTTGGACGAGATGACCCACAGGGTCCCTTCCAACTCTATGATTCTAGGATTCATTCAAAGCAGTTTAGAAATAGGAATGGCTTCCCCCAAAGAATCCTGGGAGCTGTAGTTTGTTAAGGGTGCTGAGCGGTCAGGAAACACTCCCTCATTCCCTCTCACAGAACTACAATTCCCAGAGTTCCCTGGGAAGAGGGATTGGCAGTTAAACCACTCTGGGGATTGAAGCCGGACAACCTTCTGCATGCAAAGCAAGTGCTCCACTGAGCTCAAGCATCCAGCTCAGTGTTGTTTATACTGACTAGCAGCAGCTCTCCAGGGTGTCAGGCAGGGGGGTCTTTTCCCAGCCCTACCTCAAGATCAGGGGTCAGCAACCTTTTTCAGCCGCGGGCTGGTCCACCATCCCTCAAACTTGGGGGGGGGGGGCTGGACTATATTTTTGGGGGGGGTGAACGAATTCCTATGCCCCACAAATAACCCAGAGATGCATTTTAAATAAAATCACACATTCTACTCATGTAAAAACACACTGATTCCCGGACCTTCCACGGGCCGGATTTAGAAGGTGATTGGGCTGCATCCGGCCCCTGGGCCTTAGGTTGCCTACCCCTGCTCAAGATGCTATGGATTGAACCTTGGAGCTTCTGCATTCCACAAGGCAGATACTCTCCCACTAAGCTGCAGCATCTCCCAGGTCACTCAAACAAGGGACTTCCTCTCGCAGTGTTTCTCAAGCTTGGGTTCCCAAGTCGTCATTGGGACTACACCTCCCATCATCCCAACTAGCAGCGGCAGTGCTTAGGGATGATGGGAGTTGTAATCCAGCAACAGCTGAGAAACACAGCTAGGCCAGTTCTTTTAGAGCTAGCGCAGTAGCAAACAGCCCCTGCATCTCCCAGCCCACCCAACACCTCTCCAGGTGTCATGCTCAGCCCTGAACAATCTCCAGACATCTCTTATCCAAAGGGGATGGGTGGGGAGATGGAGAGGTCCAACAGGGAGAAGTTTCTCCAGGAGAGAGAAAGAGAGAGAGATGTTCCAACCCCCTTCTCCAGCTCTGAATGATGTATATCCCCTCCTGGGCAGGGCAGGGCACTGGAAACGGAATTTGGCACAGTGAAAAAGAGAGAGGGAGAGAGGGAGGGAGAGAGAGAAGACGATCTGGAAGGCACACAAAGAGCCCTTGTAAAGCTCATCGGCTCATTTCAAGGCCAACAACTCCAGGGACCAGGTGAGCCAAAATGGGCTCAGGGACGGCTCATTTTCAAAGGGCGCCGGGCACCCGCTTGGTTTGGCAGGCAAAGGACACCTACAGAAGATGCAAAACTGGCAAACTTTTACGAGAGGAAAGAACGTCACGTGCCGGCCATAAAACCAACGGATTCCTGTTGCCTAAGAAGGTTCCACTTCCCCAGCCGGGAAGAGCCCTCCTGGATCAGGCCAGAGGCCTGTTTAGTGCAGCATCCTGTTCTCACAGTGGCCCTTGCCAGATGCTCAAAGGTAAAGGGACCCCTGACCGTTAGGTCCAGTCGTGGCCGACTCTGGGGTTGCAGTGCTCATCTCACTTTACTGGCCAAGGGAGCCGGTGTACGGCTTCTGGGTCACGTGGACAGCATGACTAAGCCGCTTCTGGTGAACCAGAGCAGCGCACGGAAATGCCGCTTACCTTCCCACCAGAGCGGTACCTATTTATCTACTTGCACTTTGACGTGCTTTCAAACTGCTAGGTTGGCAGGAGCAGGGACCGAGCAACGGGAGCTCATCCCGTCGCAGGGATTCAAACCGCCGACCTTCTGATCGGCAAGTCCTAGGCTCTGTGGTTTAACCCACCACGCCACCCGCATCCCAACCAGATGCTTATGAGACGCCTAAAAGCAGGATCTGAGTACCGCAGCAGCAGCAGTCTCCTCACTTGGGATTCCCAGCAACTGGCATTCAGAGTCATCCTGCCTTTGGAAGCAGAACACAGCCATCATGGAGGCGGAACATAGCCTAGCAAGGTTGTCAGACTACAACTCCCATCAGCCCCAGCCAAGAACAGCCATATGAAGCAGGGGCTGATGGGAACCACAGCCCAGTGATACAGCAAGTCCTCAACTTGCCCAAGGTTACATTTTGGGGATCACACTAAAAGCCAAAATCAGGTATAGTCGAAACACATTGAGATGAATAGAGGGAGGGACTGCCCAAGTTTACACACACACACACACACACACACACACACCAGATGCATGTCCTTTTTACACCCCCTTTTTAATTATTATTTTTTTAAGTTGCCAAGCGTGTAAAGCTGAATGTGCGCAAGTTAAACGTGTGTTCGTTGTGGGATTGCTGTATATAGAGGGCACCAGGCTGGAGCTGGGCTTACAAGAGTCCATGTTGCATTTCAAGTCTATTATTGGCAAGCGGAGTTCGTCTGCAAGGAGCCTGCGCCTTGCCTTTCCTTCCTAGCCCTCACCCAGTGGCTTACAATTTCTAAACAGAGGTCAGGATTGGGCCCTTCCTTTGTGCATATTCGGAAGCATGGTGCACTCAATAAGCTCCCTTGGCAGGTGCAGAATTCTGCCCCTATGACATCAGCTGGGACTGATGGGAATTGCAGTCCAAAACATCTAGAGGACACCAGGTTGAGGCAGGCAGGCGTTGAGTTGCTTCTGGTCAGTGTAGGCAGTACTGGGTTAGATGGGATTGATGGACTGACTCAGCATACGATGGCCTCAAATTTTCACATGAGCTCATATATATGGGCCGCTACAAGCTCTGCAGAGAAGCCGGGCTCCTCCCTCCATCAGTTGTCACCTGGCAGCAATAGCCATTCCATCAGGATAAAGTAAGGAAGAAAGAGAAGGGATGCAGAGCCACTCCATTGATGCAACAGGGAAATCAGCACCTTTTTATGGCATCTCACCTTGAGCTTTTTCACTTCAGGTGGTCATGAGAACTTGTACCAGCCTCTGCTTACTATTTCCTCTGCCCTCCCAGTCCATTTTCCTTTTGTGCCGTGTACTTTCAAGATTCTATGCCTGAAAGCAAGGTAAACCATCCTGCAAGGCTTCATTAAAGATTTTTAAAAGTAATAATATTGTAGTAATAATAATAATCAAGATTTATTGTATTCAGAAAAGATCCGCTGAACTATTGCCCATTCATTTTACTGGATCTACTACTCTGAGTATTACTTAGACTGGGGGCAATCCAGTCAGATGGGCGACATATAAGTAATAAAATTTTTCTTAGTAGTAGTAGTACTATTTTTCTCCCATTTCACGGTGGAAGAACATGTTATGGGCAACATTAGACAAGTCTAAGAACATAGATCCATCTAGCTCACTATTGCCTACACTAACTGGCAGCAGCTGGAGCCTTTTGAATGCAAAGCAGATGCTCTCTCACTGAGCCAGAGACCTTAACTATACCTCATCAGACCACTGAGTCCATCTAGTTCAGTATTGTCTGCACTGACTGGCAGCACCTGTCCAGGGTTTCAGCCACAGGACGTTCCAAGCCCTACCTGGAGGGTTGGACCTGCGACTTTCTGCCTGCAAAGCAGTTGTTTCCAAACACTCTAGCCTGTGCATGGACAGAAGACTACCTGGGGGTCCCAAAACACACCACCTTGACTTCCATGGTGAAAGACAAATGCGCAGACACACTAAAAAAGTCTGTCGTTCTTGCATCAAAGATCTGCAGACCTTCCAGGCTCTGAGAAGCAAGAAGGGTGCTGGGTGGAGAAGGCACTCTTGAAAGCCCCCTGGCTTCACTCCGGACTCTAAGAGCACATGAAGAACAGTGCTGGATGAAGCCAATATCCCATCTAGTCCAGCATCCTGTTCTCACAGTGGCCAACCAGATGCCTGTGGGAAACCCAAAAGCCGGACTTGAGCGCATTTTGCCTTATCTTTAAACTAAAAAGTCCCAAACATTGAAACCTTTCCCCTTAGGGGAGTCACTCCACTCCCTTGATAATTTCAGCTGCCCCTTTCCAAGTTTTCAATACCCATTCTGAGATGAGGCAGCCAGAACCATACACAATGCTCCCAATGCATTTGCACCATAGATTCGTACAACTGTGTCATATCGGCAGTTTCATTCACTCCTAACAATCCCTAGTGTGGAATTGGTGCTCTGAACCCACAAGCAGCCAGCCATAGATAGCCAAAACTTTCTTATATCCTCTGAAGCAATCTGTGTGCACCTTCCACAGGGCAGGCATCCCGGTAGAAACTCACCAATTTCCGGAGCGCCCCCTCGTCCATGCTTAAGAGCCTCTCCTCCGACATGTCCCCCGGTCAACGTCCAGCTTCCCACCTTCTGCCCCCCACCAAAAAAAAGACCCTCACAGTGGTCTCAAGGCACCGCTTCCGTGTGCAAGCTCTGGGAGCGTGGCCCGCTCAGCATCCGAACAGCCGGCTCGGAGGAGGAATTCTGGAAGAGAACAAACCACAGCTGCGTTAGGCGGGGGGAGGCGGGAGAGGAGGGAAAGAGATAATAATTGGGAGGTCTTTCCCCCGGAGTCATTAAACAGGGTGTTGAAAGGCAAATGGAGTCAGGGCAGCCAGATTCACTGGCTGCTAATCCCCAAACTGGGAAAGGAGACCGTCTGAACGCCAGCCCTGGCTGAGAAGATCGTAGATCTCTCTTTCTCTCATACATACACACCGGCCAACTGGCTTCCAGGAACCTCTGATGAGTCCCTCAAGACACACAACCCCAGACCTAGAGAGAGAGAGAGAGACCTCTCCCCGTCTCTCAACTCCGTTTTCCAAGAGTTTGGCCAGGCAAGGAGCCTCAAGCAGAGTGCCAGAGTTTCTCAACTCATCAGGGAGAAAAGCTTTCCACCCAGCTCAGACGCATACCGATTCCAAAGCCTGTCAAAAAGGCAGCGGGCCAGCTAGCATCTTGCCCACCCAGATACCCAACATATTTTTTTTGGGGGGGGGAGAAGGGCTGACTCAGGAAAATAAGCCTCGCGGAAGTCGGCACAACTGACTACTCACAAGAAATTGCTTCATTTTCATTGGGAGTGACAAAGAGCCAGGCAGCATACTTACCGGGCTGGTGTCATCACTGACACACACAGAGAGATATTATATATATCCAGACCCACGAGGTAACACAGGGCTAATAAGAAATGAATGGAAACTGATTTGGACCAGGAGAAAGAGGCTTCAGGTGCCTACTCGCACATCAGACTCCCTTTGATATGTTGCATCCTCTCCACAAGTCTACCTCGCAGGTTTGTTGAGAGGATCGAGCAGGCTGACCCAGACATAGATTAGCCTGAGCTTTTTTGGGGGGGTCAAAAGACCCCCCCAAAAATATACAGTGTATATTGATTTAAGTTGTTATTTTACAAAGTATCCGTGGGAAGGATGGGGGTATAGCCCACAGCAGTTTAACGTGCAGTTATGCAAGGTCTTTCATCCAGAGTGGAACAAGAAACTCAATAGTTTCGAGGTTCAATAGATCTAGAAATAGAAGGTCCACATTGTTATGGCACAATGACTATTAAAACAGTGAAAAAGCAAGGGAATGCTAACTTTTAAATCTTTCCGCAGCTCCCAGGTAAGTGCCAACTGATGTCCACACACACACTCCAGCAACGACAGTACCTGGTACTTCAGGGGCCCAAAACCAGGTGTCAGGAAAGGGCAGCAACACACGAAGTGAACAGCAAGTATAGGAGGGAGGTGTGGGGTGAGAAATCCCATTTAATCCAGATTAAGGAATTTCATTGCACACGCACATCTCTTTAGTAGCGCTTAAATGTGTAGCCTTTCCTGAAACCGATGTCCAAGTTGCGCACCCATTTTCAGGATTACAGACGACAAACCAGACGCGCTGTCCAGATTTGGGACACACATCCTCTTCAATCCGGATCTACTAGCCTCACACATCCTCTGCAATCCGGATCTAGTCCACTGCGGTTCCCGAATCCAGTTAACCCGTTGACTTCTCTTCCTCTCAATAAAGACCCGCTTTAGGTTGGCAACACACCCTTCCCAGTCCGGATTAGCCATTCACCTCCCCCCTCCGCTCACATTAATCCGGATTAACTATTTACTCCCCCCGCCTCACACACAATCAAGAACAAGGCACGCACCTCGGCAGAACCGGCAGAGCCATGCAGGAGCCAAGCCCTGCCCCAATGCACTTTTCAAATCCCGATACAGATCCGCTCCCTCCGGCTCTCGAAGCACTTCTGAGCCAGCAACCCGCGCCGCGCCGCCAAATCCCAGCCTCCTCCTTCAAGACCCCGCCCCGATTTTCTCGAAGGGACCAATCGCAGGGCGGATCTGGCTCCGAACGCTCGCGTAACAGCTCTCCGCCTTGCGCTATTGGTTCAATTCAATTGGGTGGCCACGCCTCCCTATACCTGTAAGCCCGCCTTCCCCGCTTGGCATGCTGGGGGTTGTAGTTCAAGGGGGCACCCCGGGATTGAGGACAAGACTGGCTTGAACGACGTTTTTTAAGAGAAATTGAAATTAAAGGTACTTAGCAGCCATTTCTGACAAGCTGCTTAGAGTTATTGTATCTTATCGCGGAATTGCCTTGTTTATTTGCTTTTTGCATATAGTTCCCCTCCATAATTTTATACTGATGGGAATGTCATTTACATTAAGTAGAGGTTCTGTATATGTTATTTTCTAACACTTTGCTATCGGTTGTTAATTTTGTTGGAAGAGCGATAATCAAACATCAAATCAAGTAAGTATTCCCCTTCATGACTAGGACCCATGGAGAGGATGGTGGGAAGTCTGGAGATTCAGAGAAATCTCTAAACATGAACATGTATTTGGTATTGTTATAACTTTACGCTTGTAAAGTAAAATAAAAATTATTACAAAAACAAACAAACTATGAAACCCCAAATTAGGGATCCCCTCCAAACCTGTGCCAAAGTTTTGAAGTTGTTTTGCCGCAAAACACCCCCACGTTTTGTAGCTCCCCACAAACCAAGAAATTGATACATCAAACACGGGGTTCACATATGTTGGGGTTCACAGTTAATGAGCCCCCCCAAAAAAGCAGTGTGCTCAGGACTCTTTTCCACACACTCTGTGTGTTCTTTAAACTCTCAGCCCAATTTGTGACCTATACCACTGGCAAGAGATCTACTGAATGAACAGACCTGGGATAGTTAGGGTTTTAATATGCTTTTTCTATGTTTTCAGCTGCTCGGTTTTCACTGTTTTTACCGATCATTTTAATTTCTTTTATGCAGCTTTGAGGGCTTTTTTTGGTGACAATCCAGCAATATTCAAATTTTGTTAAATAGTAAGAAATCGGCAGAAGGGTTGGGCTATATGAGCTGTAAGGTGCCTCCAGTCCTTTTCTTTTTTAAAAACAACAACTTAACAATTGATGACAGGGGATCCTGGAACAGCAGCAGCAGGCATCTCAGACAGCTAGGGAGTTCCTGCTTGCTCCTAGCCATTGTGCTGCTGACAATGAACAAGGATTAAGGGCTGCTCTGCCACAAACAAGCAAATGTAATTGTCTGGAATTTGGTTACCTTGGGCTTAAGGGTCCCAGCAGCTATTTGCTATGTGTCTGGCACATTTCAGTGCTGCCTGGTAGCCAAGCTTAAGTACACCAGTCATAAAGACTGTGTTTTGCACGTCTGTTCCCTCCCCGTGAGGCAAGAGCGGGGAGCCATCCCTGCCAAAAGCTACGTATGCACAATACGTTTAAAGCACATGCCTTTCGCCCAATCATCCCGGGAACTGTAGTTTCCCCACATAGAATAATAGAATTGTAGAGTTACAGGGGGGCCCAAAGGTCCTCTAGTCTGACCCCCTGCAGTGCAGGAATCGCAGCTACAGAGCTACAGTTCCCAGCACTCATAACAGGTTACAGTTCCCATGATTCTTTTGGGGGAAGCCATGTGCTTTCAATGTGCAGTTTGTGTATGTGTGTATCTTCTTTTCTTCTTCTTCTTCTTCGGTGATCACTCGTAGCCAAGTAAGATTGTCTTCCATAAACAGGGTTTTAACAGTGAGTCCGTAAGTGACTGTGGAGGCCAATTCTGGATCCGCACATCCTTCCACAGTGCGGACATAGGTTTCCGGGCGGGAGTTGATCACCATGAGAGTTTGCCAAATGTGCCTTCCTCTTAGCTCGTTTCTCCCTTTCGTCCTGAGTTTGAGTGTCTTCATCATCACAATCGCCCAGCAGAGCCGTTTTCCTTACATGTCTCTGGCTTGATCCACAAGATGCAGACGGTTGCCTGTTCTCTTTCTTCAAACTTCTGCTGTCTCTACCCAGGAGGCGTTGGAAAGGGGGTGTGGCCCGCCCGGGTGTCATCCTTGAGGGAGGTGACAAAATGACACACCCTGGATGATTAGGTCCAGTCAAAGGCAACTATGGAGTTGTGGCGCTCATCTCGCTTTCAGGCCGAGGGAGCCGGCGTTTGTCCACAGACAGCTTTCTGGGTCCTGTGGCCAGCAGGATTAAACCGCTTCTGGCACAACGGAACACTGTGACAGAAACCAGAGCGAACGGAAACGCTGTTTCCTTCCCGCCGCAGTGGTACCTATTTATCTACTTGCACTTGCGTGCTTTCGAATTGCTAGGTTGGCAGGAGCAGGGACCGAGCAACGGGAGCTCACCACTGTTGAGTGGATTCAAACCGCCGACCTTCCAATCGGCAAGCCCAAGATGCTCAGTGGTTTAGACCACAGTGCCACCCATGTCCTGAATACCATTTGCTAGCAACCACAGGAAGGAAAAGTGCTCTTGTGCTCGAATTCTGCTCGAATTCTGCTAGATGGGCCATTGGCCTGGCTCATCAGGCTCTTCTGAGGCGCTTGTGTTGACCTCTGTCACCTTCTTTTAGCAGTTGTGCGTTGGCTTGTGACAACCGGATCTCTAAACCAACAAGAAATGGAGAGGAACAGCCATTGTGGAACAATCAGATATGGGGCAATAAATCATCCGCATGCGCACACACATACACACCCCTCCCCAAAGGTTGTGTTGTGATGAGATAGTGCTGGGGTCAGGGAGGAAGGCTGGGGCCAGTTACCAAGGCCGGAAGCAGCCAAGTGCGAAGGAAAATGACCTGATAAAGAGGACATTATGCCCTGAAAGAATTTTCAAGGTTCGAAAAAGAATTATTGGAGAGTAATGAGAAAATCTGATCGAAAATGTGTAAGCTACTATTAGAATGGGGCACTAAAGATGAAGAAGTTAAAGCTGTAATGATACACTGGGCAAAAGATGTGGGTTACAAAAATATCTTTTAATTTATAGAAAGAGAATTTAAAATTTACGGCTTGTTGTACATTGTAAGAAAACTACATGGAAATGATGTACCGTTGGTATTTGACTCCAGTAAAACTAGCAAAAATGTATAAAAATACCTCCAACCTTTGTTGGAGGTGTAAAGATAAAGAAGGTACTTTTTACCACATGTGGCAGACATGTAAAATAGTAAAAGACTTCTGGGAAATGATATACAATGAATTTAAAAGAATGTTTAAGCCTTTTTACTAGGGTTAACAGGAGATGAAATACCAAAAGAATTAAAAAGACTATTTACCGGTATGTAGGGACACAGGTGGCGCTGTGGGTTAAACCACAGAGCCTAGGACTTGCCGATCAGAAGGTCGGCGGTTCGAATCCCCGTGACAGGGTGAGCTCCCGTTGCTCGGTCCCTGCTCCTGCCAACCTAGCAGTTCAAAAGCACGTCAAAGTGCAAGTAGATAAATAGGTACCGCTCCAGCGGGAAGGTAAACGGCGTTTCCGTGTGTTGCTCTGGTTCGCCAGAAGCGGCTTAGTCATGCTGGCCACATGACCTGGAAGCTGTACGCCGGCTCCCTCGGCCAATAAAGTGAGATGAGCACCGCAACCCCAGAGTCGGTCACAGCTGGACCTAATGGTCAGGGGTCCCTTTACCTTTACTTATGCGACAACAGCCCGCAAGAATGCTACTTACCCAGAAGTGGAAGGGGAGAGAAATCCCAACTAAAGGAGAATGAATACTCAAGAATGATGGACTATGGCCGATAATGGCAAAGATTGACCGTGAGGATCAGGCACCAAAAGGACAAGAAATCAGTCAAGAGTGGTAAAGTTTAGCAGAATATCTTAAAACCACTGTGTATACCTCAAAACGGTAGCAGGGTTATTGTAACAATGTATAATGTTCAATATTAGTTAAGGGTGGTGGGGGAGAAACAAAATGGATTAGAAAAAATGAATTAGATGCAGAAATACGGGGGAAATTTGGAAATGCGGGGGGGGGGGAGTTCTGAGGTACGTGCGTGCTTTTTTTGGGTGCAGGCTGTAGCCATGGACATGCTATGTGATCTGATGGTGAATTTGGGGTGACCCAATGCAAAGATCCTGAGAATCCCTGTGGATCCATGCTTTGTAACCACATTTTTGCACCATTGCAGCCCCAGGCAACAGTGGGTGCGTGCTTTTTTTGGTGCAGGCTGTAGCCATGGACATGCTATGTGATCTGATGGTGAATTTGGGGTGACCCAATGCAAAGATCCTGAGGATCCATGTTGATCTATGCTTTGTAACCACATTTTAAGTGGGGAGCGAAGGCAAAACAAAGAAGGGACATGAGAGGGGTGTGCAGAGAAGCAGCTGGCTAAGAATGCTGGAGAGGGATTTGGGGTGGGAGGAAAGAAAGGCAAAAGTTCCCCCCCAAGCCAGCCATCTCTCTCTCTCTCTCTCTCTCTCTCTCTCTCTCTCTCCCTCCCTCCCTCCCTCCCCCCCTCTCTCCCTCTCCCTCCCCCCCTCTCCCTCTCCCTCCCCCCACTCTCTCTCCCTCTCCCCCAGCAGTACCGGGAGCACAGAGACGACACTTTCCCTCTGCTTGCCTGGAGGGAGGGGGCTTTCCCTGCTCTTTGTTCCGTTTCAGCAATCACAGCAACGAAACAGAGGAGGGGGGGCAGTAAGACCCTGAGGCAGAATGCAGGAAAGCTGCCGCTTCCTCTTTTCAGGTTTCCCTTCTCCGTGACTCGCGGTTTGACTTTTGCTTGATTTTTTGGCTCCAGGGACCACACATTCACTCTATAACACGCACAGACATTTCCCCTTCCTTTTTAGGAGAAAAAATCTGCGTGTTATAGAGCGAAAAATACGGTAATTCAAGGAGTGCAAAATTTGAAAATGATGTGAATGTATAAAAATTTTGTTTAAAAAATGAAAATAAAATATTTTTTTAAAAGAGGACATTGTCAGATCCCCTGAGGTGGGGGGGGGGC